ACTACTACCACGACTAGTACTATTACTACTACTACCACCCCCACCACCACCACCACCACTACTACTACTACTACTACTACTACTACTACTACTACTACTACTACTACGACTGTCACCACCACTACTACTACTACTACTACTACTACTTTTTTTTTTCTTCTTTTCCTATAACAAAAATAAGGGTTCTGCCCCTATATTTTTTGAATTTTATTTTCCTTCTTCTCATGAATATGTTGATTTTCTAAACTTTAATATGAAATTTATACTTTTCTTATGAACATCAAGAATAATCATTAAAGAAATATGGTTATGATGCCTAGGGAACTACCCTAGGATCTATGTTTTTAACATAAAAAATCCATTGCTTAGGCGACTAGGCAACAAGGTGACAAGGCGCCCCCCAGTCGCTTAGCCTAGCTTTGGTGCCTTGAAAACTATGACTGCAATATCTTCAAAAAAAAAAAAAGGAAATCAATTGGCCAAGGAAAGTGTGTTGTATCCTCCAATGTCTGGTTACATCAAATCCACTTCCAACAAAATCCCATTAAATTACTAAGAAAAGATCATTACCAGATTTAGGACAAAACCTAGACCTATTAAACCTGAAACTAGATTGTTTGTATAAGAAATATTCCCTCTTACCATCTGTGAAAATACCTTATATAATTTTAGTCTCACAAGTCACATTCAAAAGAAAATTAAAAACCGGAAATCACCTAAACAAAAGTAAATCACAATTTTACTATATAATTATGGAAATTATCACGACCACCTAGTAGTCTAGCACCTCCTGATAAACTTTTTTTTTATTAGTAACTTTTATTAATTATGTCTTTCTATAATCTATACATCCATGCTTAGGTTTGAAGCAACTCCATCTACCCTACTATAATATTCATATTACAATTGGGCCCATAAAATCTCTTCCCTGTATACTCCTTGTTCTGGTAGTTGGTCAGCAAGAGAATAGGCTGACCTTTGGACCCACTTTACCGTTGTCTCCATCTCTCTAGACCTTTGATTTCCCTCATTGCATGTCTATGCGACCACAAAGCTTTCTCCCTTATCAAATTCAAAACTACTTTGGAGTCTCTTTCAATTTCTAGCTTCCTAAGATTCAGGATTCTTGCTAGCCAAGTCTTGTAAAACAGCTAGCAATTGAGCCCTCAAAAAGTGTCTGTGACAAGCTGGATCTGAGAAGATTGCCAATATGGTGCTATTTTCTTTCTAAAAACACTGCCTACCCCAGAATGTCCAGGATCCCCTTAAGGATCTGCCATTGAAACTTAACTTCACTTGGTCCTTGCTAAGCTATTCCAACTGTGCCATCCTCATGAAATGTCTTCCATAAAGGAAAGGGAAAAAAGATCCACGGTTTTCACCCAATGCACCATTTTCTCTGTTACCCTTTCAATAGTTGCCTCTTTGGTGCTTTTCTTCCCAGTGAATAATCTTGCATTTCTTTCTTCCCAAATTGTACAAAGTGTTGTCCTAGTGCATTGCCACATGATTCTCCCTCTTCTTCTCAGCATTGTAAAGGTAATCAAAGAGAATAAACTGACCAGATCTATTAGGGGTGTCCATCTACAACCAAGAGTAATAAAAACCACTGTCAAGTACAAGAAACAAATGAGCATAAGACTAGTAAATGGTGTGCAGTCTCTCCACTAGCATAGCAAAGAACACACAGGAGGGGATAAGCACCAACTCGGCTTCTTTTTTCAGATTGTTATAGGTGTTGAGTTTTCTATGAAATACCCCCCAACAAAAGGCCCTAGTTTTAGGATGAATAGGTCTACTCAATCTCTTTGATCGGAAATGCTAGTGGTAAGATGAGGGAGGAGGTAAGAAAGTTGAAGAAATAGGTAGAAGAGAAGGACCTCAAGGAACTAGTTGTCCAAATACAAGTATTTGGGATAGAACAGTCCAAAAAGATATTTAATCAAGGATGAAAAATCACAACGTATTGGGGCATATTGGATATGCTCCTATTACAGGTGTTTCGGGGTCTGATCTGGTTCAAGGGGTAGATGGGCCTTAAACTGACCCCCCTGAAACAGTTTGAAAAAGTAGTTGATCAAGACTACAATCAGTCTTGAATTCGTAAGTAAAAGAAAAGATTTCAGAAGAAGAAAAGAAGAAGAAGAGAGGGAGAAAAGCAGAAACACACGAAGGGTATTAGAAAAGAAAGAGAGGGTCAATGTCAATAATCTGCCGACCCACTCTTAATATTTATATATGTTGACTAATTGTAAAAGGGCTGAATTGCCCTTATTGCTTACATGGCAAATAAACTAATAATAAAGTTGAAATAACAAGCTGTAACAACAAAACTGAAATAACTACCGACTAACACTGACATAAACAGAAAATATATGCTATGCTGCCATACGAACACAGTGGGGACCACAGCAGTGGGGTCCACATCAGTGTTCTCTACACTCCCCCTCAAGTTGGGAATAGATATTTGTCATTCCCAACTTGCATAGGTCTGCCTCTAATTTCTTCCTTGGAACAGCCTTGGTGAGAAGATCTGCGAAATGCATGCTAGAGGTGATATACGGGAGACACACATCTTGAGACGAAACCCTTTCTCTAACAAAATGTCGATCGACTTCGATATGCTTTGTTATGTCATGTTGTACCGGATTATGAGCTATATTAATAACAGACTGATTATCACAATACAACATTAAGAGCTTCTCATAATCAAAGGCACACCATTAGCCATAGATCTATATTCAGCTTCAGCACTAGAACGAGACTCCTCCAGGAGACAAGGTTACCTCCTACAAAGGCACAATATCCAGAGGTAGACCTTCTGTCATTAGCACTCCCAGCCCAATCAGCATCTGTATAGACCTCTATCTTCATGTAATCATTATTCTTAAATAATATACCTCTACCTAAGACATCTCTTAAAGTATGCTAATATTCTCTCAACTACAAGGAGGTGAGTAGTTCTAGGAGACATATATTGACTGACAACGCTGACTGCATAACTGATGTCCAGTTGTGTGAGACAAAGATAGAGGAGTTTTCCAACCAACCGTTGGAACATAGCTTTGTCTTCAAGAGGCTCTCCACCCTCTACACTGATCTTGTGATTCTGTTCAATAGGTGCATCTGCAGGCTTAACACCCAACTTTCCAGTTTCTGCTAATAGATCTAGAACWTACTTCCTYTGAGAAATAAARATCYCRTGTTTAGATCTAGCAACCTCAATACCCAAGAAGTATCGTAGCTCTCCCAGATCTTTCACCTCAAACTCTTGATGAAGGAGTTGTTTAAGAGACTCAATCTCACTGTTATCATTCCCTATCACCACAATATCATCCACATGTACAGCAAGCAAGGTCAAGGAAGAGTCCACTCATTTAATGAACAATGTATGGTCTGACTGGGCCTATACATAGCCGAAATTTTCAAGGGCTTGGACCCATTCTAAGTAGTTGGATCCATCAAACTTCACAGTTGTAATCTGAAATGTATTCTCAGACATGTTACCATAATTGCTAGTCCCAAAAACACGTTCTCCCTGATTTTTGAACTCCATTCTTGGTTAAGAATTAGCAACAAAAACTTTTGAAGCTACTATAATAGAAAACAACACCTAAACAATTGATAACAGCCGGCCCAGGTCTTCCACAAACAAGGGAAAAACAAAATTTTGTATGAAACCAGTTCAGATCTAATCTGAAACCAACAACAGTTCTGAATTTTAAGGTTTTGAAGAAAAACAGAATTCTGTATGAACCCAGTTCAGATCTGATCTAAAACCAACGACAATTCTGAATTTTAGGGTTTTCTCTCAAAACCCTAAAGAGAAAAAAAATATTTTCCAGCCGCACCTCTCAGAGTAGACCAAGAGGGTTTTTTCAAGGTTATTCTCAAGCAAAAACTTACTTCATGAAAGAAAATCTCTGGATGCCACCTTCTGTCTGATGTAGAACCCTAATCCTGAGGATCCGAAGCCTTTTCTAATTCCTCCTGACTACTGGAGCTCTCCCAACCTTCTACAATCTTCTTAGTAGTAGCCGCACACTACCAGTAGCCTCCAAGAATTAGCGGATCCTCCTTCTTAGTCTTCTAGCCCTAGGAAATTCTCATGTGGTTGGCTGGATCAGACTCACATGAGAAACCCTAATCCTTGCTCTAATACCAAGTAGTCCATCAAGACTACAATCAGTCTTGAATTCGAAAGTAAAAGAAAAGATTTCAGAAGAAGAAAAGAAGAAGAGAGGGAGAAAAGCAGAAACGCACGAAGGGTTTTAGAAAAGAAAGAGAGGGTCAATGTCAATAATCTGCCGACCCACTTAATATTTATATATGTTGACTAATTGTGAAAGGGCTGAATTGCCCTTATTGCTTAGATGGCAAATAAACTAATAATAAAGCTGAAATAACAAGCTGTAACAACAAAACTGAAATAACTACCAACTAACACTGACATAACTAACAGAAAATATATGCTATGCTGCCATACGAACACAGTGGGGACCACAGCAATGGGGTCCACATCAGTGTTCTCTACAGAAAAAAAAACTAAAAAAAACATAAAGTGCAGCACAATACAGGACGATACACCCCAATTGGTGTATTGGCCTATATCAATATTTAATCTAACTCCTTTAATGGATCAACAGCAATGGAAGCTTCTAAATCCCACAAACTCCTTCTAAAACCAAGATCCCACTTAAACCCATCAGATGAGTTCATGATAAATTTTGAAATGGGCTCTCTTGTAAGATGATAAAGAGTAAAATGTTCAGGAAACAAGACTGCAAAGTAGAACCTCCCACCCACAAATCTTCTCAAAATCTAGTTCTATTCCCAAAGCAGACATTATATGTTATGAGATTAAAAGTACAAGCTAAATATTGCTTTCCACAGGGAAGCCAAGGTTATCCTAGAAGCCAAACCAACATCCCAACTATCCCCTGACATCCCATGGATACTAACTGGCACTTTATACCGCAACCTATTAGAATTAAGGGTTAATATCATAATATCCACAACCACTGCCCTAGCAAGGAGGTTTTCCTATTAAATTTCTCAAACCTAACCCCCTTTTCTCTTCCCTATACATATTCTCCACTTTACAAAATGATATTTTTTTGTTTTCTCCCAGTTTCCATAAGGAATTGCTCATGTTTTTATTCATATCCTCTTAACCACTAACTCTGGAATCCTAAAAACAGTGAGGCAGTAGACCGGAAGGCTAGACATGTAGTTTCTTTTCTACATGGCTAGCTTCTTAGATGATTTCTCCACCTGCAGTGCAAAAATTGGCCAACTTAGGGTTTCCCCCTAAAGGAATCCCAAGACATTTCATTGGCCAAGTGACAACTGAACACCTAGGACTGTTGCATAAGATCCAATCTTGTCTGAGTCTATATTTATTCTGACAAGGCAACTTTTATCTAAGTTGCAAATAGCCCATTATCTTATACTTGCATCATTCTTCCTCAGTTTCAAAAAAGAAAAAAAAAATGTAATTGAGTTTCTTGAAGTGGGCAAGGATGAATAATTGTACAAGAATTTCAACATAGGTTTAGTATTGTCATCATCCACAGGAAGAAATTTCGTTGTGAAGAATTCTGTAAGAAATCGTGGTTTCCCAGAAAAGGAATCGCTATTTCAACATATTTTTGACATGTAATGAATCCTTTCATTGAACATTTGGGTTACAGTTTCTGGAATTTCTTTTTAGGTTTCATGTTGAACATCCAAATATAGCACCGGATTTGCAATAGGTCCTGGTTACTTTGTTCATACTTGGTTAGATGGGAGGTTGTGTGTAGGAATCTTCAACAAGGAGGATTGGGTATTGGTAGCATGGATAAAAAGAATAAGGCCTTGCTAGGGAAATGGCTTTGGAGGTGGCCAGTGGAAAGGGACAGACTATGGCATGATGTAATAGCCAGCATACATGGAAGGTTGGGATGCGGGTGTATCTAACAGAGATACTCTGGCCTCACCTTGGAAAGCTATTCATAACATTCTACCTCACTTTCTCCGCTTCATCAGATATGATGTCTGCTTTGGGATTTCTGTTAAATTTTGGGAGGATACTTGGGCTGGTTCTTGTCCGTTAATGGAACTACTCCCCTCATTATACTTGGTTTCTTTGTACAAAAATGAGTTTGTGTTAAGTTTTGTTTTTTCCCCTTTAAATCCTGTGGGACTCAGTTGGGACTTTGGATTCTGTAGATGCCTTAGGGATAACAAAATTTTGGCTTGTCTAGACCTTCTATAACTCCTTCAAAATGTTTTTCTTAGAACCTGGTAAACCTGATAAACGGATCTGGGCCCCTAACACTAAGGGTTTGTTTTCTTGTGCTTCTTTGTTCAAGACCATTTGTGATTCCTCAGTTTCTTCCTTTCCCTTCAAAGAGCTTTGGTGTAGACCCACTCCAACCAAGGTAAGGGCCTTCTGCTGGGAAGTAGTTCATAGGAAGGTAAATATTATGGACTTGCTTCAAAAGAGAAGACCTATCTCCTGTCTCTCCCCAAACTAGTGTCTTATGCAAATCCAGTAATGAGAGTTGTTGTTGCTTACTGATTTCCAACCCCTTTGTTGCAGATTTTTGGATTTGGTTTTCTTCTTTGTTTGGGTGCAGGTGGACAATACCTACGGAGGTTACTATGTTATTTGATCCCTCCGGTTTTACTAGGCCAAAGAAGAGAGGGAGGATAATGTGGAGATGTGCCGGAGCAGCTTTGATTTGGACCATTTGGGAAGAGAGAAATGCAAGAATCTTCTCAGAGAAGGAGGGAAGCAAGGAAGAAATTAGGATTTGTATGATGGTTAGGGTGATCCACTGAATCAAGACTTTGGAGTTGCTCTTCCAGTTCACCTTTGATGATATTTGGAGGAATTGGGAAGTAGTTGCTAAAAGCTCCAAGAGAAAGGACAGAGTGGAGGTGGTCTGGATACCACCAATTGAAGGTTTTCTTAAATCAAATTTTGATGGGAGTAGCTGAGGTAATCCAAGCCCTTCTAGAATTGGAGGGGTGGTGAGAGATGAAGAAGGTAAACTTATAGCACTTTTTTTTGGCCCTACGGGTATGGGGGACTCTTTCAAAGCTGAACTGCTGCTGCAATTCAAGGTGTGCAGATTGTGAGCTAAACTTGACAAATGTGGTAATAGAAGGGGCTCGAAAGTGGTGGTGGAATGGCTAAGGAATCCTGAGTCTATAATTTGGTGCTACAGGAGTGAAATGAAAAAATTTACATGGCTAACCATGAATATGAATTTAAGGATACAATGGGTGAGAAGATCAGCAAATAGGGTGGTGGATGCTTTGGCTAAACAAGGGGTGAACAGGTCTATTTTATTCAGGGCACAGTTGTAATGTGTTTTTCTTTTGTATGAGAGGTAGCAGCTCGTGCCTCTCTAAGGGATGATTGTAAAGATTTTACATAAAGTATTTTAATAAAGCTCAAATTATTCATAAAAAAAAATAAGCTTTCCCTCTTGAATTGTAACTAGGACTTTACTGTTGAACTTAGAGAAAACTTTAGAAACTGCAACTTCTATAATATGGATTTGTTTTACTACCAAACTAATGGTGTTAAGAAGAAACTAATGGCGTTAAGAAGAGTAAAGAGGTCTACATATAAAAGAAAATTAGAAACCGGAACTTACGAAAAATGTAAACCAGAATTTTACTACGAAAATAACTTATTTCTAGAAGACTTAGACTGAGCACTACAACCACCTACCACCACCAATTAAATATCCCTTCATGGGTGGCTGGACTTCCAAGCCCTATTGAAGCCATATGGGGTCCACAAAAAATCCTAGTTTCCCAAAAACTTCTCTAAATTGTACATAACCTTTCTTTTGCACATCAATCACTCTTACCTTAGGATTCAGAGCACGCATTAAAGCCATAAGACTGTCCATACACATGGAAATTGACAGAGCACAATCAGGTGATTCATAAACAGTAAAAGCACACCAAGAGGAAAGTACAAATGGATAAGCAAAATTTTAATTACTATTTAATTTGTAATGGAGTATATCTGTTAAAAGTTACATCTATTGACTCCATTACGATACACATACCTGCATGTTCTTCCAGTAAAAAAGTCTCCCATGCCATCCCACATTTTCTTCCACATGCTTTTGATAGACTCAAAGAAGCCATGTATACCAGTTTTGGGGGGTTGAAAAGGAGTAATCTGGAAAATGTAAAAAATACTTTGGATGATATATAGAAAAATTCATAAAAAAGCATATTTCTTTTTGAGAAAAGTAAAGTATATTCATTGATATAAATTGGAAAATTTGAAAATAGCTCCCTATGTGGTGCTGTACATTAGTCTTTGTTAAAACACTAGTATTTAGAATAGGTGTGTATGACAATGAAAAGGTACCATTCCATAAAAAGAAAGGAACAAATACAGATGGAACATCATTTGTATTTCCTGGTAGAAAGCAAAGGAAATTGCAGTTTTTTAATTCCTATTCCTAATATGGAGACAGTATTTTTCTTCTCTTTGGTTTTCGTAGGGCCCTCCAAAGGGAAAATGTGTGCTGCTGGAAAGACATGATACCACAAAGGCTTTGACCAATCAATACCCCCTCCGGTGAATTTTGATATATATCATAGTTAACCCCTCTCCAAATAGTGGAAGATGATAATGATCATTCTACTTGAATACTAGTACAAGATTTGTTGTAGCAGATGCTGGCAATGCTTCCTCCAGATCACGAAAAGTGGATCCTCCAAGAAAAGTCACAATCCTCTGAGCTTCATTATGACAACATCGAGCTAAAAATCACCCTTCTGGTAAATTGCAGGCAATTAGAAGCATTGTTAATGTTCCTATTTTTCTTTTTTTAATATCTTACCTGAAAAGTAAAGCAAAGGTATGGCCTCAAAGATTCCATCAACATTTAGCATATACTTCCAGAGGTTCAATCCTGATGAACAAATTGATTGCCTCTTTAAAAAAATCTCTAAGAAGGTAGCAATGGCATTAGTCACACCTTTTTCTATAACTATGTAGGGATTGTAGGCAAAACCTAAGATAGGGAAAAGAACAACTAAATCATCCAATAACATGAAGAGAACATATACATATAGAAAAATAAGTTTGAGTTCTATAGATGCAAATTCAAAATATTCCACAAATTGTAAACCCATAGTTGTACAAAAAGAAAAAAGGTTGAGCTAGCCCATTGTTGAGTTATTGGGCCAACTTTGTTTATTTTTTATTTACATAATTCAGTTAGGAAGTTATTGGGCCTTAGGCCCATTAGTTTATGTTAAGTTGTTTCTTTTTAGCTACTTACAAGTAGCTGACCTACTAAGGGCATACTTGTACTTGTACATTCTTTTTATGAAGTATATAATTAAAAGGAAGGGGGCGGCCAGAACTGATTCTTTTTGGCTTCCTCTCATTCTCTTTTATTTCTTCTTCTTTTCCTTTCTAGCTGAAACTTTTCTGTTCTCTCTTCCTTCTTCTTTCATAAAGTTTATATCAAAACAACTATCAAGCTTTTCTACTCCCATCAATATGTTCTTGTGAGGAAATCATGGAACACAAAATGGTATGACAAGTTTTAAGCAAGGCACTCAAATGGAAACATTTTGTCTTGTGATGTTGGGATATAATAAACCTTTATGCAAATTTAGTTTGAGGCTCAAATATTGTAACTTCAATCTCATATTTTGTTAATAAGTAAATGTTTTCGTTTGTCATGTATTTATGAAGTAGCCAGGACATGGCCATCTTTCCTTCAGCATCCATCTTTTATTGGTAAAAAACTCAACAGTTATGATTATATTTCTTAAGGTGATATAAATTTTTTTTGGTGACAGGTGGTGTAGCCAAAGCAAACTAGGCCAGCCTCAGTCTGATTCTACAAGTTGTTTTTAAGTTTTCTATTGGGTCCTTGTGCTGTTCAATTCCTGGGTTGGTTAATTCATGAAGAAACTGAAGAAAACAGACCTTGAGAGTTCGGCAATGAGGGTTCTGAGAGTGAGAGTTTCGAACATTACACTCTCTCAGCACCCTAACA